TTTCATCATATCATCTCCCTCCCTCTCCTGCTTTTCCTTGCCCTTCCCCCTTTCTCTCCTCTCTCTTCCCTCCTTACACTCTCCTCTACCCATCTCCCTCTCTCCTTCTCTCCCACTTCCTCACCTCTTCTCATCTCCCTCTCTCTTCCCCTTCCTCTCCTCCCCTCCTTTCCCTCCGCTTCCTCCCCGCCCCCAACTGCAGTTTCAATAATACAGGAAATCGCGGTCAGCTAATGTGATAATCTCGCATAATAATCCTTAACTTTCGACCTTGTATACAGGCCTGTATTATGGACCGACCGCAATGTCCGTTTAGGTGTACGCAAGACAGTGCTAGCAAATCGGGTCTGTGCGATGCAAGCAAGCGCTATTAAATGCAAATAGGAGAACGATGTAATGGCCTGTTTAGATCCGGCAACAGGGTGTAAATGCCGGGAAGTGTACACTGCTGTTTCATAAATCCGAAAGATTGGGTTGTTTAGCGAGTGAGCCATTTTGGGGAAGGAGGGGTGGGGGGGGGGAGGGGGACGGCGGAGATTGGGAGGAGGAGGGAGGGAAGGGAAAGGCAGAGTATGAGGGGGAAGAAGGGAGGGTAGAAGGACAGAGAATGAGAGGGAGGCAAGGACGGAGTGGGAGGTGGAGGAAGGGAAAGGCAGTGTAGGAGGGGGAAAGGAAGAAGGGTAGAAGGACAGATAATGAGGGGGAGGGAAGGAAAGAGGTGGAGAGGGGGGAGGCAGAGGAGGAAGGGTGGAAGGACAGAGAATGAAAGGGAGGCAAGGACGGAGTGGGAGGTGAAGGGAGAGAAAGGCAAAGTAGGAAAGGAGAAAGGAAGAAGGGTAGAAGGACAGAGAATGAGAGGGAGGGAAGGAAAGACAGTAGGAAGCGGGAGTAAAAGGAGGGAAGGAAAGTGATGGGAAACAAGGACAGGGCAGGAAGGAAGGAAGGACGGAAAGCTGCGAAGGAAACCAGGAAATAACAAAAGAAAAGAAACGAGAAACTTAAAAATAAAAAACTTCAAAGGGAACATCATAAAAACACACCAACCCTTTCTACTCCCTTTCCCCTTCCCAGCTTCTTCAGGCCACAAACAACAGATACAAAAGACCATTTACATTCCAAACGAAGATAATCACTTCACCGGCACCCCAGGAAGCCAAGAGCCAAGGTCGTCGCGGTTCTAATCACCGATACGACGCGAACACCTGTTATCTCTCGTTATGTTTGCCCTCAAGAAACGATATGACGAATAGGCCTTTGAAATTTTCCTGTTTATTTTCTTCGTTTCTTGCCTTCGCCGTTTTTCCCATTTTCTTCGTTTTCTTGCCTTCGTACTTTCTATCTTTATTTCTTCGTTTTTTTTTTTCTTCGTTATCTTGCCTTCGTACTTTCTATCTTTATTTTCTTCGTTTTCTTTCCTCCGTAGTTTTCCTGTTTATTTTCTTCGTTTTCTTGTTGAGGGAGAGAAGGAAGGGAGGGGAAGGAGAGGAAAGGAAGGGGAGAGTAGAACTTAATGTTGATAACTGGTTCAGCTTTTGTTTACATAGTTAATACCCACAATTCATCGATCATCTACCCATCATTTGGTTGTTTTGGAGCTATTATTATCAGTGTCTACTTCTCTGTTGTTTCCGTGTTGTCATTTGTTCACTTATATTTGATATTTGTGAATAGCTGTCTTTTTCTCACTCTTTCTCCCTATCGTTATCTATTTCTCTCTCTCTCTCTCTCTCTCTCTCTCTCTCTCTCTCTCTCTCTCTCTCTCTCTCTCTCTCTCTCTCTCTCTCTCTCTCTCTCTCTCTCTCTCTCTCTCTGCTCTGCTGCTGCTGCTGCTGCTGCTGCTGCTGCTACTACTACTACTACTACGATTATCCATTATCATTATCATTATTTATTATTATTATTATTATTATTATTATTATTATTATTACCATTAGTACTACTACCATTATATCATGGTTACTACTGCAGCTCCTACTATCGCCACTAATCCAAATATTTCTAAGAATAATGCTATTGCTACTACGGCACTACCACTTGTACTGATAATAATGATAACAATAAAAATAACGATAATTACAAAAAGTCTTATCATAACGTTAGTACTGCTACACCCACAATAACTAAGCATCTACTAATATTCGTAACAATACAACTATAACATTACCAAACACAGTAACAACTAATACAGGCGCTTAATTGAGCCATCTCCCCCCCCTCCTCATCCCCCCCCACCACCACCCCCAACCATTAATACCCTGACTCGCTTTAACATAGCACATTAATGATAGTGTCAAGTGCCTAATAGCCATGACCATTACTTCTATGACACCCCCCACCCCACCCTCTATCAACACCCCTTCCTCCTCCTCCTCCTCCTTTCCTCCCATCTCCCTCCTCCCCCATTTATCGACAACACCTCTCTTCCTCCTCTTCCCCTACCCCTTTCAGACCCCTCCTTTTCCTACGTCTTCCCGCACCCCTCTCCACCCACCAATCCCCTCCTATTCTCCCCCACCACCAACTTTCCTTCCCCCTCCCTCCTCTCCCTCTCCCCCCACCAACCCCCCCTCTTCTCCCCACTACACCCCCTTCTCCTTCCCTCTCCCCACCACTCACCAACCTCCCCTCTCCCCCTCCCCCCACAAACCCCCTCCTCTTCTCCCCCCACCACCCATTACCTCCCCCTTCCTCCCCTATCCCCCACCAACCCCCTTACCCCCTCCCCCCCTATCAAAACGCGTCATATGGCATGCCTGCTGATGATGGACCGGAGGGTAATGAGCTTAGGATAGGCCTAATTAACCCCCTCCCCCCCCCCCCCCACCGTGATTAGGCCGTGATTTCCGTGTCTGTGTCTTTCTCTCTCGCCTTCGCTGGATCTCAAGACGGCGCGTGGAAGTTGTTCTTCTTGGTGTTATTCCTGGTATTGTCGACTTTATCTTCGGTATTGTGTTTTTTTTATCATTTTTTTGTCATTTTTAACATTGGTGTTGTGTTTTTTTATCATCTTTATCATTTTGATCATTGGTGAACTTTCCTGGAAGTTCTTGGTGTTGGTGTTATTCCTGGTGTTGTCGACTTTGATTATCTTCGGTATTGTGGTTTTTTTATTATTATTAATTTTGATCATTTTTATCGTTGGTGTTGTGTTTTTTTTTCATTATTTTTATCATTTTGATCATTGGTGAACTTTCCTTATTATTATTATTATTATTATTATTATTATTATTATTATTATTATTATATTATTATATGCAATAATAATAATAATAATAATAATAATAATAATAACAACAATAATAATGATAACAATGATAATAGTACTACTACTACTACTAAAAATAATATTACAATAATAAAAACAATTCTAATTAAAAAAAAAAACACAAACGCTCGAACAGTAAATAAAAAAATAAACCAAAATTCCAGAAACCAAAACGCCAATCCAACCCTTAATTCACACACTGACCGTTATCCACACTTATCCACCAAGTGTCAAAGACGAACCCGATTAAAACGAGATAATGGCGCGGTTCGTGTAATGATTAATAATTATACACAGGCAACCATCGAACACAGCTGTTGCCTGTTAACCCTTTGCTTACTGCTGGTTTGGGAGAGGAAAAAGAGGTTGGTTTATTATCATTTCTTTGGCTATTTTTATTATTTTGGGTTATTTTATCTTATTATTGGTTTATTATTATCTTGGTTTGATTATTCTTTATTATTTTGGTTTATTATTATTTGGGTATTATTTCTTTGGTTATTCTTTATTATTTTGGTTTATTATTATCTTGGTTTGTTATTATTATTTCTTTGGTTATTCTTTATTATTTTGGTTTATTGTTATCTTGGTTTGTCATTATTTCTTTGGTTATTCTTTATTATTCCGTTATTATTATTTGGTTTTGTATGATTTTATTATTTGGTTTATTATTAATTTGGTTATTTTATTATTTTGGTTATTATTACTTCGTTTATTATTTTTTTGGCATTATCATTTCTTTATCTATTATTTGGTTATTGTTATCTTATTATTGTGGTTTATTATTATCTTGTTTTGTTATTATTATTTCTTTGGTTATTCTTTATTATTTGGTTATCTAATTATTTGGTTTATCATTTTATCCTTTTTTCTTTGTTATTATTTCTCTCGAAGGTGAGTGTTTACGAAGAATAAAAAGAAGGAAATATAATAGATATATCATACATACCGATGGATATGGAGACATACGAATATATACACATGCATACATACATATACGCACAGACACAGATATACACACATACATACCGACACTCTCCCGTAGTCGCACGCACACTCACGCAAACGCACTCACGCACACACACACAGACGCACATAATAGCTAGAAACCTAAATAGACAAATAGATAAATAGATAGAAAAATGAATATATAAATGCATGAATAATAATGAATAACTTAAATAGGTAGAATATTAACGGTAACAAATAGAGAAATAATTAAGTTTGTTCGATAAATAACACCCATCTACCACTAACAATAAAAAATAAATAAATAGAAAACAAGAACAAGAATAAAATGAACAATACCACAAAAAACGACAACAAAAATGTAAAGTAAACAAATAAAAAAATAATACCACAGAAGGTCTCACTTACCCCCCCCCCCTCTCCCGCGTCGTCAGGTAGGTACCACTTACCACTTACCACTCTCTTACCGTACCTGGAGCCCGGTACTTACTCCGTGTGGGCGCGTCACACATACCTGTAATTAAGAACCGGTGTCAGTTATCGATACAGGTGACACTCGAAGCCAAATTGCTGTGTATGTGGTTTGGTTTTGTGTGTGTGTGTGTTTGTATTTATGTATGTTGAATGAATAAATGTGTGTGTATGTATGTATGTGTGTATGTATGTATGAATGAATAAATGAATGTATATGCATGTATGTATGTGCGAGTATGTTTGTTGAATGAATAAATGAATGTATATGTATGTATGTATTTGCATGTTGAATGAATATGTGTATGTATGTATGTGTGTATGTTTGTTGAATTAATAAATGAATGTATATGCATGTATGTATGCGTATGTTTGTATGTATGTTGATTGAATAAATGTGCGTATGTGTGTGTATGTTTGTTGAATGAATAAATGAATGTGTATGCATGCATGTATGTGTGTATATTTTGCATGTTGAATGAATAAATGTGTGTATGTGTGTGTATCTTTGTTGAATTAATAAATTAATGCATGTGTATCCATGTATGTATGTTGTATGTTTGTATGTTGAATGAATGAATAACGCATGTGTGTATGTGTTCATGTATGTCTTTTTACGTTTATGTATATGTATGGTGTATGTGTATATGTCTATCTGCATGTCTATGGTATGTATGGAAATACAGAAAGAGACAATAACATCATAGATAATAATAATAAAAATCTCAGAACATTAAAAACTGCAAAAACATTCAGACACAAAAGCAACAAAGACAACAACGAAAATAACAAAGACAGCCCGACATACAACAAACAAAATACAAACAAAAAACGGATTTAACTGAAACAACATATACAACAGCATAAGCAAGTGTAACAAAAAATGACAGGAACAAAACCGAACATATATAATTTTTTATTTGTTTCTGTCTTTGGTCAGACGGTTGACACGTGTCATAAAACCCCGTAAATGTTTTATTATTATTACTACTACTATTATTATTATTATTATTATATCAATATCATTATTATCATTATTGCTTTTATTATGCTCTTCTGTACCATTTTCTTTCTTCTTATCATAATTAACATTATCATTATAATTCATCATCGTTATTATTACCACCATTATCATCAATAACAATCATTATCATCCTTATTACTATTATTATCAATATCACTGCTTTTGTTATCATAATTGCTGTCGTTATCATCATTACAGCTAGACGTATCACTATCAATACTACAAATGCTTTGTTATAATTACCATCACCTTATAATTATAACTGATTGTTATGCCTAATAAACAATGAACAATTATTAGTTTTGGAATCAATACCATCATCAGCGTTGCCAACAATACCCGTGACATTTGTAACGATGGAACCACTACCATTACGTATTTTGCTAATTCTTGTTTATTTCTCTCTCTCTCTCTCTCTCCCTTATCCCCCTCTCTCATTCTCTATCTTTTTCTTTCTCTCTCTCCCCTCCTCCCCACCTCTCTCTTTCTCTCTCTCCCTCTCCCCTTCTCTCTCTCTCTCTCTCTCTCTCTTCTCTCTCTTCTCTTCCTCTCTCTCTCTCTCTCTCTCTCTCTCTCTCTCTCTCTCTCTCTCTCTCTCCCCCCTCTCCCTTCTATCTTTTTTCTTTCTCTCTCTCCCTTCCCCTCTCTCTCTTTTACTCTTTCTTACTCTTCCCCTCCCGCCCCCGCCCGTCCCTCCCCCTTCCTCTTTTTCCCCATCTTCCTCTCCCCTCCTCTCCCCCTTCATCTCTCTCACTTCTCGTCTCTTCTCTCTCTCTCCTCTCTCTCTCCTCTCTCTCGTTCCAAGAATTTTCTAAGGTCAAACCCATAGCGCAGGGAAAGCTGTCCGGTGGTGAAGAATAGGACAGCCAGATGGTGTCTGGGATAAAGGCTGGTTAGATATTGGAGATATTCGCCGTGAACATGGTATTTGTTATTTTATTGGCAATAACTTCCGGAAAGCCTCTGTGTGTGTGGTTGTGGCATGTGTGTGGTAGTGTTGCTGGAGTATGGGCGTGGTGCGGTGGCGTGGATGGCGTGTTGGCGTGTGCGAGGTGCGGTGTGTGTGCTGTGCTTGTTTGTTGGTTTTGTTGTGTCATGGTCCTGTTGGTGTAAATGGCCGTTGTGGCTGTGTTGTCATTTGTGGTGTTGGTGTTGGGTCTGTTGTGTGTGGTGGGTGTCGTGGGGATTGTGTGTGTGTGTGTGTGG